CGTTGGTTTCCTCCGTCACTGAAGCAAGCAAGCCTCATGTTAGTTTCAAGCTGCCTGGCTGCCGGCCGCCATCTTGGCTGGCAGGTAATTTGCATATCGCCCTGATTAGCCAATGGGAAGGGTAGCGGTCGTACACCAATTACCATGTTTCTCTTTTATTAGATAGGAGGATTACTTTGGGAAGGCAGTATTCCAAAAGATGCAAATTGAAGGTACTCTTTCAGGGTAAAAGTTTAACTGAAATTTTCTGACAAAGAGACTACCCTAATAATGCTTAAATGTTCTTAATTTTAATTGTAGCTGCTAATTTCTAAACATTAATTCAGTAACATTTTTTTGGAAGTAAACTATGAACTCCATAATAGTAACATTAACAGTTAATACTGAGGTTCATATTATGTGCTGAGTACTTGCTTTATATATATTAATGTATTTTTCTGAGATTATAAAAGGAGTTATAAAAGACTGCCCCTAGATATGACATCAAAAAACATAAACAACAACAAAAAATAAATTGGACTTCCTCAAAATTACAAATTTTTGTGCTTCAATCGATACTAATAAGAACATTAAAAGATAACACACAGAATGGGTGAAAGTATTTGCAAATCATGTCTGATAAAGGGGATTTTATTGATAATATATAAGTACTCTTACAACTTAATAATGATGAGACAAATAACCCAATCTAAAAAAGGGCAAAGGATGATCTAAACTGACATTTCTCCAAAAAAGGATATACAAATGGCCAAGTAAGTACATGGAAAGATGATCAACATCATTATCCATCAGGAAAATGCAAAACAAAACTACAATAGATAATACTACCCACCAGCATGACAATAATAAAAAAAGACAGACAGTAACAGCGTTGGTGAGGATGTGTATACACTGCCAACGGGAATATAAATGGTACAGCTGCTTTAGAAAACATCCTGGCAATTGTTAATATGGTTAAATGTAGTCATTAAATGAACCTAGGTATATACCCAAGAAAAGTGAAAACATACATCCACACAAAAAGTTGTACAGGAATATTCATGGCACCATTATTCTTTATAGTCAAAAACCACAGAATTGATAAAACAAAATGTTGTCCATCTATATGATGGAATAAAAAAGGATAAAGTATTGAGATACATACTACAACATGAATGTATCTTGAAAACATTATGCTAAATGAGAGATGCCAGACATAAATACTGCATACTGAATGATTCAATTTATATGAAATGCCCAGAGTAGGCAAATCTGTTTGAGACAAAAAGTAGATTAGTGGTTGCCTTGGACTGAGGAGGATGGGGGAAATGGAGAGCAGCTAATAATGGGTACAGGGTTTCTTTTGAGATAATGAAAATGCTCTAAAACTGATTGATGTGATGGTTGAACAAATGTGTGAATACACTAATAACCACCTGAAATGGGTGAATTGTATGGTATGTGACTATCTCAATAAAACTGTTTTACAAAAAGAAGATAATATTCCTCCATGTAAGGAACTACCTATTGAAATCAGAAATTAATTATCTTCTATAAAGAACCAGATAAGTATTTTCAGCCTTATTAGCGAGAAACATAGTTTCTGCTGTAACTACTAAATTCTGCAATTGCAGCAAAAAAGACGCCACATAGAACATGCAAATTAATGAGCATCGTATTCTAACAACATTTACCAATAATGAAATTTGAATTTCAAATATTTCAGGTGTCATAAAATTTTCTTCTTTTGGTAGCTTTCCAATGATTTAAAAATGTAAACACCATTCTTAGTTCAAAGGCCATACAAAAACATTGTTTGGATTTAGTTGTACATTCCCTGACCTGGTTGTACATTCTAAATAGTCACTTCACAGAAAAACATATAAAGACCCCCCCCCTTTTCTCAATAAATTGCCTTTCAAAAATAAGTCAATCTTATTACTTACTTTTAACTTGTCTTTTAAAGCTTCCTTTTCTGCTATAACCCTTCTTAAATCAGATATTGCAACTTCTTTTTCCTTTTCCATCAGGCTAACAACATTATGGGAGACTGTGCTTTGGGTGGATTCTTGTCTTAGTGAAGATAATTCTTCCTGAGCCTTAAAGAATTAAAAGATATAAATAAAAAACACTCTGGATATGCTCCCAGTTTTTTTAAAAAAGGCAAGCTAAACACATGCTACCTTTGCTCTCTTTCCAAATCCCCAGAAAATGAGTAAAATGATTAAAGAAATAAGAAGAAGACAAGGAGATGGAGGGAAGTGCCAGCCACAAAATTTTAGAAACCAGTTAGCAGATGGATAACTAGTAATTAATTAAGCAGACCCAAGAAAGCTGAATCTAAGCCAATGGATCAATTTGTATTGCAGAATCCTAAAAAGTTCCAAAAGGCAAAACAACTTTACAAATTGACCTTTTAACCTGCATGTCCTCCCCATCTTGAAGAGCAGGATTTCTTGGGAGACTGATATGGGAATAAATTTAGGTAATACCATCCCTGCTCAGACTCACTTTGGCCTCTGACAATTGAGCTTTGTAACTAGGCCAAGCTGTATTGATTCCCTCTTCCCTAAAGTTTTCTCATTAGGGCCTAAGTCCTTAATATCTAATTAGTCCCAATAATGGCTGCTATCCACTGTTTGACAAACATATCCCAACATGTCTGCATCCCAAGGATTAACCCTTTGCGATCGTATTAAATTTGGACATGGGTGTCGTACTGGTCGGAATTAATTTCCATTGAAAGAGCAGTGATACATAACATGCAAGATTATGAAGGATAAACAAGATTTATTAATTCTTTTTTGGAACTACGTCACTACTAGTAGAATCACTACAAACGTTATCACTTTCTACGTCAGAGTCAGTATTCAAGGTGCCACAATAAAACTCTTCATCGTTTCTTTCAGATTCGCAGTACACTTCTGGTTCGTGACAAGGTCGCTTAGACACTGAAGAGCTTTCAGAGAAATTATGAACTGATACATGAATGAATAGAGTTAAGATTCGTACGGTTCCTTGCTGTGGTGGCTGAGAGCAGACATACGACCGGAACGGTAAAAAAGCTTTGGTGGCTGAGAGTAGACAAACGACCGCAAAGGGTTAACTTGACTCAGAGTCAGTCTAGAAGTAGATTATCTCTAACTGACCTGACAGATAGGCTAGAAAAGAGGAAGACTAAATATGAAAAAATAATAGAAATCTTTGCTTTGGGAACAGGAACACAGTAGAAACTACTACTTACAATTCTAATTATGAAGAAATACCACAGCCCTAACCGGTTTGGCTCAGTGGATAGAGCATTGGCCTGCGGACTCAAGGGTCCCAGGTTCGATTCCAGTCAAGGGCATGTACCTGGGTTGCGGGCATATACCCAGTGGGGGTGTGCAGGAGGCAGCTGATCGATGTTTCTCTCTCATCGATGTTTCTAACTCTCTATCCCTCTGTAAAAAAATCAATAAAATATATTTTTTTTAAAAACCACAAGGTCTATATATTATAATAATTTAAAGGACATATACTGGTGGTTCCACTATAGTTAACTAGTTCTGTGTACTCTGTTGGTTTAATTATAAAAAGCCCTTACTTCATGATATAAAACACTTAGTTTATCTCTTTCTGCTGTCAATAATTTAACATTGGCCTGTATATCCTCCATATGTTTCTCAAATCTTTCCAGCATATGTTGAAGTTCATCTCTTTCTCTTGTGATCAGATGAATTTCAGAATTGTAATCACCCTGAAACATAAATTAAAAACAGGAGTTATCATTTGTTATAATTATCAGATTGTCACAAGGATGCTGGTGTTAACATTGACTGAAAGATGCTAACAGACAAAAAAACCACAAATTCGCCGAAACCGGTTTGGCTCAGTGGATAGAGCGTCGGCCTGCGGACTGAAGGGTCCCAGGTTCGATTCCGGTCGGGGGCATGTGCCTGGGTTGCGGGCACATCCCCAGTAGGAGATGTGCGGGAGGCAGCTGATCGATGTTTCTCTCTCATCGACGTTTCTAGCTCTCTCTCTCCCTTCCTCTCTTAAAAAATCAATAAATTATATTTTTTAAAAAAACACAAATTCCTTTACTGTAATTAAGGAACATGATTTTTAATCTTTAATGATAGGAGATGGGAGTGCTCGCAGTATTTGGGCAAATTTCACGGCCTTCAAGTTCCCAGGAAGAGACCCAGTTGCCAATACTATTTGATCAGATCTTATCCAATGCTTCAACTGTCATTCTCCTGAAGTTATTTATAGTGGTGGTAACTAAAGTATAATCCTCAAACCAGAAGTATCAGCAACATCTAGGAACTTGTTAGACATGCAAGTTTTGGGGCCCAACCCAGACCTACTTAATCAGAAACGCAGGACACAAGGCCCAGTAACTGGCTTATCAAGACTTCCAGGTGACTGTGGTACATGCTAATTGTGAGAGACCACTAGTTTATAACCCTCTCCAGGGCAAGGACCAGGAGGCACTGTGTGCCTGCTCACCCAGTGCAAGAAATTATCATAGGCTAGAACAGGGGTAGGCAAACTTTTTGACTCGAGGGCCACCATGGGTTCTTCAACTGGACCGGAGGGCCAGAACAAAAGCATGGATGGAGTGTTTGTGTGAACTAATATAAATTCAAAGTAAACATCATTACATAAAAGGGTACGGTCTTTTTTTTTTTTAGTTTTATTCATTTCAAACGGGCCGCATCCGGCCTGCGAGCCGTAGTTTGCCCACGGCTGGGCTAGAACATTCCTCAGTGTTTTCTGACAATCTAAGATCAATGTCTCAGACACACTAACTCCCAACTGTCCCAGCTTTAAACCAATGTGAGGTCTATCTTTACAATCATATAAATATAAATATTTCTACCAGGTAGTATATGTACATTAAGCAACTACTTCCAACATTTAAAATAAGATTATACCCATTATTCCAGTACAATTCAAAAGATCCACTATCTTTACAGAAATCATGGAAAACAAAGATAGTAAACAGACTTGGGACTACATTCAGAAGCCCTAAATAGGGATAATCTGATAATTGGATACACTGAAAAGCATCCTGATCTATGTTACTGAGTATCTACTGTGCACATACCATGTACAATGTGAGTTGGTAAATAGTAGATATCTGTGAGGTGCCCCTCACCTGCAACTCAGAAATGAGTTATCCTCTCAGTTAAAAAAGCAAAATCAAAACATAATGGATCAGGTTAGCTATCTGGACACCTTAAAGGATAAAATGTCTTACAGGACAAAAGCAGATTAGGATTTGAGGACTCAAAGCTTAAATAACTATAAAAGAAAATCTGTAACCTAAATAACAATATCTCACAGAAAGGAGGTAGTCTGCAGATTTCAGAAAAGAAGCACTCAGTGAAAAAAGGTTTGACAGTGTATTTTCATTATTGTCCAGGTCTCAGCTTAAATGTCACTTTCCCTAAGGAGTCCTTCCAAATTCTCCAATCTAATTTAGATCTCCTCTATATACTCTCACAGCCTTCTGAGTCTTTCCTGTATTTTCTTCATCAACACACATTTATTTTTGTGTTAACATATATTTGTTAATAACTCCCTTTTATCACTCCATTATTTTCAACACACACACACACACACACACACACACACACACGTGCACAGTGCTCAAGGTTATGAGGAAAACAACTATGTCTTTACCTTGTATCTCTAGAGCCTCAGTATATATCTGTTGAACTGAACATGACTTTTGACCTATACCCGATTTGCTTTGAACCACCAAATGGTGAGGAAATGAAACATTTATTAGGAACTATATTTTATGCTAGACCCTTATGCAAATTACCTCATATAATCTTCACAAGAGATTTTCGTTACTGTCCTAACTTTGCAAATGACAAAACCGGAGTTCCATGAAGTCAGGCAACTTGTCCAAGTTCATAAAGCCATTTTTTGGAGTTAGAACTTTTATCAGGCCTCTAACTTCAAAGCACTTGCCACTACACTATACTCAAACTCGCAGTTGAAACCATGGTGAAAGGGGACAGTGTCCCCCCTGTATACAGACAACAGATAATCAACAAGGGTACTGTTGACAAGATCACTGATTTTAAAAATGTCAGTATTTTTTTTTTTGAGTTACTGTAATCCAGAGAAACAGTGCCTAAATTTCCCTATAAAGCAGGAATTGAAAACTCACAGTTGTGAGTCTTGGGAACTAGAGAGTGGGGCTGCACTCTCCAGTTCCCAGCACTCACAACTGTCTGACACTCCACCCGTTTCAACAGTGTACATACCCACTTCCTTACCAGGCCTTCAATTTATTACTGCGAATCTAAAATGCTCTGAACATCTCAACTTCTAAACTTTGGAAAGTAAATTATTTATCCATGTCAGGTAACACTAAAATATTTCAAGACAGTAAATAAGTTGAAGGAGAAAAAAGTCTCACCTGATTTTACCAGTATCGGACCAAAATCTCTCATGTCTTTCAGTTGTGAATCACGCGACTGAATTGAATATTTAGGTTAAAAGCTTTGAGATCATTATCTACTCAGTTCTATTTAATAAATACTTGATTAAGTAAATCAACCATTTTTGTGGAAGATTCTCAAACATAATGAAGGTGGTCAATTCAGTAGTTTATTTTTCATGAGCTTTATGTACAAATGGGGATTTAAAAATGACTCAATGATTTAAATTGTATTTTTCCCCTAATTCATTCTGCTTATAATAGATAACATAAAATAGTGGGTATACTAACACCTGTAAATCAAATACAATCATTAGCCAATGAGGTCAAAAGCTGAAGCCTAATCAGAAAATAACTCAAAACCATTTGACAATTGACAGGATCTTTAGGAAAAAGATGATGGAACTGGCCAATTCAGCCAAGTCTGAAATCAAATGTTTTGAGTTTGAATGACTTTACTCCTAACTTTTCCTAATTTATCTAGAGTGTAGTAATTTTAGGGTAACACAAGCCTCTGGGACTCCTACAGCTCCAAAGCTTAAAAAATAAAGAGAAATCTAAAGAATTCACATACTCAAAAAACAATGATACTCATAAAACATTGAAAATAATTAAGATCTAAAATAGACACTGTGGTTTTGACCTCTCATAAATCATGATTAGCTTTACCTAATATACATCTTTAGACTACCATCTTATAAATGTCGTTGTAGTATTAATAGGATGATCTGCCTGGCATCCACTTGGGCTTACTACCTTCTCCTGTTGTGTGATTTACATGGAAGATGCCTGGTCTGTACAGTGTGATTCACCTTTCTGACTAGTCCAAGGCAGGGAATGGCATGAAGCCACGTTGCCTGCCATGTGGACAAAGCCACTTGGCTCAGAGAGAAAATGCAGCTGGTACTGAAAGGTTAGAAAGAGAAGAAATGTCCAGTGGCATGGGTTCCTGGTTCCAGTTTCTGGAAGCCCAGATGCCCTTACACTTGTCCCATATACGTAATGAGCTATTCAGTCTTTCCATTTTTTCCAGGAATCAGTATATCACGCTTTGTTTTTAAGTAGCTTTCCTAATTAATGCAGTGTTTCTATAGTATAGATAATGGAAGAAAACAAAAACCAAAATTAAAACTTTTAAAAAGTATGAATGACATTTAACATTTAATAATAATGTTATATTTAATACAGTAATAAACCAGAAGTTTGTTCAAAAAGATACTCTCTTGCTTTATCAATTACTCTGATAAAGAGATATTACCTTTTCTAGCATTTTAAATGTTGAAGCTTTTTCATGTGCAGAATAATTTATAGAGCAAGATCTTCTCTGTATTATATGCTGGAGTCTTTCTAGCTCTTTCTTATAAAAATCTCGTTCTTCTTCTATACCTTTCAGAAATGTATCTAAACGAGAAGGTGACTTGTCTCGACGTTTTATTCCATGCTCTAGCCTCATCCTCTCAACTTCCAAAGTAAGTTCTCTTTCTGAAAAATGAACATAAATATTAAAAGTTGCATTTAAAATATGTAATTAGTCAAATAAATTATATCAATAATGTTTGAAATGCAAGCTATTAAAAATTATTAACTGTTTTGTATATAACTGCTAGGTATCAAATAAGTATATACTAAGAGGAAAGAAGAGAAATTAACCTCATTATTTAGGTGCTATTAGTTAGAGAAACAAATACTAGTCTGTCTCACTAACTAGAACAAAGACTCCACAACAGCAGGGACCTTGTGTATCTTGTTTACCATCATATATGCCAGTACCCAAAATAGAACCTGGCACACAGCAGGCTCATAAACATTTGTCTAATGAATGAACAAATGAATATATGAATTCTTAGACGTTCCTTAAAAAACCTCGTTTAGGAATGGTACCTGGCAGAAAGGTAGCCTATTTCAAGTGTGTGTGTGTGTGTGTGTGTGTGTGTGCCTATTTCAAATGTGTGTGTGTGTGTGTGTGTGTGTGTGTGTGTCTACTTTCAGGAGATACAAGTGCATTTCCTTACAAAGATTCTGTTCTTTAATTTTTCACTTTTAGAATAATCTTCCCCTTAGTCTTAATTAATTCTATTTCAGTTCTGCCTCGAAGAAGAATAGAATTCTATTGGAAACTATTCAAGCAGGGTTTCCTGTATTAAAACTAGTAAAAATAAAAAGAATTCTGCAAGGTCCTTGAGGGAGAGAGATATTCTACTGCATCAACAGTGTCTAGCATGGATTCTGTTGTACAGCAAGCACTCTTTAAAATTATCTATTGAATAAATGAAAGATCATCTTCTAAGAAAAATAATACATCAAGAGGAAATCACAATCACTTTTTAAGTTACCAACATTTTATATTTTACCTGTATCTCCAAAACTTTCAATTTTTTTGCTAAGTCTTTGCTTTTCTTGTTCAAGCTGATGAACAACAGTCTCCAAGTCTGATCTTATAAGAAGCTCATCACTCAGTCTCTCTTTTTCTTTCTGGCATAAGTTTAATTCCTGCAAATTTTAATACTATAATTAAGATTTCAAACAACTTTAGAAAATATTATAGCACTTAAATATATTTTTTTGATCCTCACCTGAGAATGTTTTTATTTATCTATTTTAGAGAGGAAGGAAAAGAGAAAGAGAAAGAAAGAAAGAGAAACATCGATGTGAGAGAGAAACATCAATCTGTTGCCTTCCATACCCACCCTCACCAACCAGGGATTGAACCCACAACCTTTGGATATAGGGGACAATGCTCCAACTAGCTTAGCCACCAGGCAAGGACTAAAAAATATATATGTATATTTAAAAGCACGTTTATTTAAGAGCAACTCACATACATACATACATACATACATAAACACTCTTAGTCAAATATATGGTTTCAACTAAAGTTACTAGTAATTACCAATTGTGGCTAAAAACAACATAAAACCCAAATGTTAACAGTGCTCTTTTCTGAGTATATAGAATTAGATTTACTTTTTTTTTCATTTGTTTAGTAAACGGTCCCATATCTTAAAAAATAAATATGTACTGTGCAATAAAATTTAATTTTTTTTAAAGGAGGGCAGGAGAAAGACAGAGTTCTAAGACTACCATAGGTGTCTGTAATTAGCTTGCTTATTCTCTCAGCCTCACCTGCAAAATGGGGATAGGACCAGTAACAGACACTGCGGATTAACTGGTGAGAACAGATCTATTGGTGTGAAGCACTCTACACAGTGTCCAGCACATGGCAATTGCTTAATAAATGTTAGCTATAGATATTAACATTTATTTTAAAAATACATAAAATATGGCACTAATTGAAAAGATAAGACAAGTTAGAAAGTAATTATAGCAACATCTTACTGTCAGCCAACACTGGCAAAACATGGGCATAGTTCTGAGACAAACACTTTGAATCACATTCAACTGTTTATAGGGCTCATACAAACAGCAGCAAACAGCAAAAGTACCTGTCATCATGGAGCTTACATTGAGTTTTACGATGTAAAGACATCATCAAACATATAGATGTTTGTCTACTTTCTGTTTATTGAGCTCATGGGAGAAATTTACAGTATCTCTGGAGACTGAAGAGTGGACAACAATTAACAGGTTTAGTTAATTAAATTATTCAATATTGAACTGAATTGAAATCCTACAGTTGAATGAAAAGGAAGCCATTGTGATATGCTGTCCATAGTGAGCATATAAAAATCACAAATATTTGAGCACCTACTACGTGCCAGTGTGTCACAATGGCTTCATTTTTAAATTTGTCTTATGCCACCAGAACAATGCACACTAGACCAGCGATCACCAACCGGTGGTCCATGAGGTCTGAAAGGATGGCGACTGCTGCATTAGATTATATAAAGAGTTTACATAACAAGAAAATCTAGAAATTAGTATTAGTCATTGTTTCCAATAGATACTCATCCATATTAACAAAATCCTCAATAACCTTTTGAATGATCACCTAGAATTTCTGCCTGTTAGCAAGATTTGTCAGTTTGAGACTATAATAATAAAAGCATAATATGCTAATTAGACTAGACAGGTGAACGACCTTCTGGATGTCTTTCTGAATGAAGCCATGGCGAAGGGGGCTGAGGCAGAGGTGGTTAGGGGTGATCAGACAGACAGGCGAGCAGTTAGGGGCAATCAGGCAGAGTGGTTAGAGGCGACCAGGCAGGCAGGCAGAGTGGGTAGGGGCGATCAGGCAAGCAGGCAAGCAGTTAGGGGCATCAGGCAGGCTGGCGAGTGGTTAGGGGTGATCAGGCAGGCAGAGTGCTTAGGGGCAATCAGGCAGGCAGGCGAGCAGTTAGGGGCATCATGCAGGCAGGCAGAGTGGTTAGGGGCGATCAGGCAGGCAAGCTAGCAGTTAGGGGCAATCAGGCAGGCAGGAGAGCAGTTAGGGGTGATCAGGCAGGCAGGCGAGTGGTTAGGGAGCAATCAGGCAGGCAGGCAGAGTAGTTAGGGGCAATCGACCGGGAGTCGGACAACCCCCAAGGGGTCCTGGATTGCGAGGGTGCAGGCCGGGCTGAGACCCCCCTCCCCTCCTGCATGAATTTCATGCACCGGTCCCCTAGTATAGGATAATATTCTATGTCTAGACTTATGCTGAAATGATTACTATTATTCTGATTTGAAGACTACCAGAACAAATAGTATGGCTAGGAAAACTATTAAAAGAGGACTGAATGCTTTTAATAAAAGTCAACAATACCCATATGACTTTCAGCTAATTTCTCAACAAAAATTTTGCAGGCAAGAAATATTCAAAGTGATGAATAACAAGGACCTACAACCAAGATTACTCTACCCAGCAAAGCTCTCATTTGGAACTGAAGGTCAGATAGAGTTTCACAGACAAGAAAAACCTAAAGGAGTTCATCACCACCAAACCAGTATTATATGAAATGTCAAAGGGTATTCTTGAAGAAGAGGAAGAAGAAAAATAAGTAAAAGATGAACAATGAAATGACAATAAATACATATCTATCAACAACTGAATCTAAAAATCAAAATAAACCAACAAAGAATCTAACGAACAAAATAAACTGATGAATAAAACAGAACCAGAGGCATGGAAATATGGGGTGCAGGAAAAGATTAACCAAAGAACTTATATGCAGCCCTGCCTGGGTTTGGCTCTGTGGATAAAGCATCAGCCTGCAGACTGAAGGGTCCTGGGTTCGAGTCCGGTCAATGGGTATGTACCTCGGTTGCAGGCCATCTGTAATACTCTCAACAATAACAATTTAAAAAAAGTCAACAATGTTATCAAGTAATTATCAATTTCTAGTTTTAGTATTTATAAAAGTGACAAGTCATGAAACATTTAAAAGAATATAAAATTCCTAACAGATTTCACTATTTGAATTTAACTTGCCAACTACTGTCTACTAAATTAAGGAATTATAAAATATAAATCAAACTAAACGTATCCATACAAATGGAATATTACTCAGCCATAAAAAGGAAGCACCAGATACGTGCTACAAGCATGAACTTGAAAACATTGTGCTAAATAAAAGAAGCCAGGCACAAAAGGCCACATATGACTAGTATATGGTTCCATTTATATAAACTGCCCAGGATAGGCAAATCTAAAGAAACAGAAAAGTAGATGATTAGTTTCAGGGGCTGAATAGAGGAAAATGCCCTATTATTAGACAGTAGTGATGTCTGCATTACTTAGTGACTATACTAAAACCACTAAATCATACACTTAAAAGAGTGAATATTAAATTTGTAAATTATATCTAAGTTAAAATATATGTAAAATAAGCATAAAAATGTTCTTACCAAAAATTCTGACAATTAAATATTAAAGTACTTACCAGTTGAAGTTTTGCCATTGTTTCTTCAAGATTCCGCATTTCAGAAATATTTCTTTTAATCTCTTCCTAGGAATAAAAAGCCTATTAGGTAAATACTTAAAAATCAAGAATACTTAGCACTAGGTCACATTACAAATAAGGCCATTTTCCAAGTAGTTCATGCTCCCTCTCATCAGTCTAATCTGAGGCTTTAGCCCTCAGCCTCAGTTTCAATGAAGAGGAGGCATAGTTGAGGCATCTCTTTAATTTCTTGGCATCTTGAATAGAGGAACCTATTTGTAACAGCTGAAACAAGAGAGTCACTTGAAAATCTTTTTTCGCCTATACACTTGTAGGACTTTCCTTGAACCGTAGTTTTTAGAATTCATCTTATGGGATTCTCATTTCCGGATTTTCCTATCCTATTTGCTTTCTCCCCACCTGCTACTACCAACCTGGAACTGCAACTGTTTTCTTTAATTCCTCTCAGCAATATTTTATAGTTTTTAGTGTACATGTCTTTCACTTCGTTGGTTAAGTTTATTCCTAAGTATTTTATTCTTTTTTATGCCATTGTAAATGAGATTATTCATTTCCTTTTTGGATTTTAATTATCCGTGTATCGAAACTTACCTGATTTTTGTGTGCTGCTTTTGTTCCCTGCAACTTTGCTAGATTTGCTTATTAGTTCTGTGATTTTTGTTTGTGTGTGTGAAATCATTAGGGTTTTTGACATAGATGATTATGTCATCTGGAAACATAATTTTACATCTTTCTTTCCCATGTAATGCCTTTTATTTCTTTTTCTTGCCTAAGTGCTCTGGCTAGGATTTCCAGTACTATGTTGCACAGAAGTGGTAAGAATGGGCATGCTTACCTTGTTTCTGATCTTAGAGAAAAAGCTTTCGTTCTTTCACCACTGGGTGTAAGGTTAACTGTGGGCTTTTCATATAAGGCCTTTTTTACGTTGAGGCAGTGTCCTTCTATTCCATTAATTAGTGGAGGTGACACTGTATAAACTTAATTCAGCAATGTACAGTAGTGATGGTCTTCAAACTAGCTTTATATCCATTACTGAGATAACATGAAGACTTCCAAATATTATGTAAAACTGTCATATGCCAAATGGTTTTAAGGAATCAATATCTGGATTCTTGTTCTCTGCGTACAGTCCTTCTTAAATTTTATTTACCCGAGAACCTGCTTGTGATCTAGGTCATGTGAGTTCTCCTTCCCAACTTTCACTCTTACAAGTGAGTATCTCCCACTTTTTCAAAATAAAGGCAGACATCTAATGTCCCACTTTCTCAAGATAAGAAAACTTTTGAAGCACTAGACAAAAAGATAATCTGAAAAGTTGGGGCTGGCCAAAACCTTAGGCACTATTTTCTCCCATTATATATTATTAAGAGATGTCTTTCCAATAAAATTTTAGTAGTTTTACTTAATATTTAATAAGTATTATCAAAATTTGTCACACTGATCCACTGGTTACTAGTAAGTGTAATGATAACACTATTCAGAGGAAAATGTTAACTGTATAGTTACAGGACATTTTAAAAAATAAAGTATTTCACATTATGTATTTTTTTTAAATAATCTTTTTTTAATAAATATACTTTATTGATTTTTTACAGAGAGAAGGGGAGAGGGACAGAGAGTCAGAAACACTGATGAGAGAGAAACATCGATCAGCTGCCTCCTGCACACCTCCTACTGGGGATGTGCCTGCAACCAAGGTACATGCCCTTGACCGGAATTGAAACCGGGACCTTTCATTCCCCAGGCCAACGCTCTATCCACTGAGCCAAACCAATCAGGTCCATTATCTATTTTTTTTATTGCAGAGACATTTGAAGGAGTGATCATAAAAAGATATTCAAGCACAGGATAAAATCCTGCAAGGATTTCAAGAAAGGTTTATTTGGATTCTACCAGCGACTTTAAAAGAATGACGTGACAGTTTTATTTTAAGAGATCAATATTTACAACAGATGAAATTACATCCTTTGCGTCTATTTAAATTTAAAGATGAAAAATATTACCTACCAACTTAAAAATGTGCAAGAACAAAAATAGTGTTGTTTTTTTAAAAACCTTTAAAGGTTTTATGAGCACAAAATGACAAAGATGACAAACTTCTGGTGTTCACTCACAATGCAGAGATAAAAGGACAGATGGAAATCTTGAAGAAAAATAGGACAGAGTCTAAAGAACTATCTTAGATACAGGTGTGCTTCAAAACACAAACAACTAGAACAAGTGCAAGCTTTGAGAGAGTATAAACAACAGTTTAGAAAAACATGAATTACAAAACAAACCAATCAAAAGAACTGAATCAGGTATCAAAAGGGCATAAGCTCATATATTCTAGGACAGTGGTCGGCAAACTGCGGCTCGTGAGCCACATGTGGCTCTTTGGCCCCTTGAGTGTGGCTCTTCCACAAAATACCACATGTGGGCGCGCACGTACAGTGCGATTGAAACTTCGTGGCCCATGCGCAGAAGTAGGTTTTCGGCCTGGGCGAGTCTATTTTGAGGAAGTGGCGTTAGAAATGGAGGGTGTCAGTAGGTCGGGTGACCAGAGACGCACACAGGCGGGCAGCAGGATACGCAGCGCGGGGGAGGCGCGCGCGATTCATGCATGAGTTGAGTGAGCCAGTCAGTAGTCTCATGTGCAGTAGTTAGTGCTAGTCGCTTCCGCAAATCGCGCACGGGTGACAAAAGTACCTACTCGAAGCATAAAGTCACCTGTATTTTTCCAACCAGCTGCAAATCCTACAGGTATTTTTGTCATCAATTTAAGAATTGTAATTCTTTTGTGTTGGTGGCTTTTTTATTATAAAATGAAACATTTTTTAGGTGCCCTGTTTGAGATGGCTACAAAGAAGCAGCAAAGAAAAACAGAAGACGAAAACGGTGAATTTAAAGTTGAATTTTAAGTTTAAAAAATTTGGCTCTCAAAAGAAATTTCATTCGTTGTACTGTTGATATTTGGCTCTGCTGACTAATGAGTTTGCCGACCACTGTTCTGGGAGAATTAAAAAACACTCCCACAGCGTAGACATACCTTTGCTTCCCCAAGTTCTTTATCTGCAGTCTCGAGCACTTCTTCTTTATGTCTTTCCAACTGCTGTGCTAACTGGTCTATTTCAGTTAATTCTTGGCAAAGTTTTTCATTTTTGTTACTTAAATTAACAACTTCAGTAGTCACTGTCTCCTTGGTTTCCATAAGGTCTTGTATATGCTTCTCCAGGTCTTTATTAGCTTGCTGAAGAAAGTCAACCTACATTGAATTTGTAATTTGTAAAAAATATGAAATGAAAAATTATCCTAAACACTAAACTTTCAAAATTATATTTCAAAAAATACTGTATTTTTAAAATACAAAACTTAAAACCACAACTATTTTACAAACATTTTATCTTGAATTGCAAAACTGATAATGTGTGGCTTAATAAAAATATATATAGCCCTGACTGGTTTGGCTCAGTGGATAGAGTGTCGGCCTGCGGACTCAAGGGTCCCAGGTTTGATTCCGGTCAAGGTCATGTACCTTGGTTGTGGGCATATACAGTCATTGGCTTTAGAATTTCAAGCATGGAAGGAGAAGTAAAAAATTTGTGTGACCATTTTTCCAACATCTAGTTCTAAAACTATGAGGAGAATATAACTAAGATGATAATATTACTCTAGACCAGCCGTGGGCAAACTACGGCCCGCGGGCCAGATCCGGCCCATTTGAAATGAATAAAACTAAAAAAAAAAAGACCGTACCCTTTTATGTAATGATGTTTACTTTGAATTTATATTCGTTCACACAAACACTCCATCCATGCTTTTGTTCCAGCCCTCTGGTCCAGTTTAAGAACCCATTGTGGCCCTCGAGTCAAAAAGTTTGCCCACCCCTGCTCTAGACTGTGCTATCCAATGTAATGGCCACCAGCATCCACATGTGGCTACTGGGCACTTTCAATGTGGCTAGTCCAAACTGAGATGTGCTATGAATGTAAAATACACACAAGACTTCAAAGACAGTACAAAAAAATAAAGAGAATGTACAATACCTCAATATATTTTACAATATGAATTGGAGATTGAAAAAAATATTTTAGAATCATTTAGACACATTTTTAAAATCAATTTCACCTGTTTCTTTTTAATCTGGCTACTAGAAAATTTTACGTTACATACATGGCTCATAAAAAATATGTGTACTGAACAGCATTACTCAAGAGCTACTGCTGATATCGGTGCCTTACTCTATTCTAGTTCATCCCAGGCAGCACTGATATGTCTAAATTTCTAAAGGTCAAGAGTCATGCTTTATGGACTTGTTCTTTCACTTTCAGGTCTAATGCATGACAGTGAATCCATTAGATAGGTAGTTAAAAACCCAAGTTTAATCTTGGTACTTATTTTTTAATCCTCTTTTCTACATCACAAAAGAAATATATAGTCATAAAATTTTTTTAAATAAAGAGTATCATAAGGAACACTATCCCATTACACAAAAATAAACAGTATATTTCAGTTTCTTTTCTTCCAGTGTTTTCCCTCTCTGAGTTCATATACACAGTTTTTAAAAGCAAATTAAAGATCACATTATATCTACAGTTTATTCTCTTCTTTTAAATACTTAACATTATGGTGTATATATATTCCTGCCTCATTAAATATTCTTTACAAATATGATTTTTCAATAGCTTCCCCCTTTATCTGAATACTCTGGCTCTATCAAAAATTTCCCACTGTAAATAATACTTCAGTGAACAATACTGTCACTTCTACAAACCTGTGGACCATTATAAACAGTTAGGAATTTATACACTCAGTAAAATAATGATAAAAGTCATTACCTGGATATTTAAATGAGCAATAATCTTTTCATTGGTTTTATTTTTAGTCTCCAGAGAGAGGACATCAGAGGAGCAGCCACCGTCCAAAGCATTGGACAGTCGTTCTATCTCTCTTTCTCTTAATTCAATCTGAAGACAAAGTCATGACATCATTTTTAAAAATCTTGTTTTGAACCAAAATAATTAACACCAAAGAAACATTTATTTGGCTATATTTCCATTTTTCTTACGTTGAACAGTGTGTAAAAGAGAATAACATTCATATATGTACCCACACTTTATGAGATATGAAATACATATATGTAGAGCAAAAATAAAAAACACAGATAATGTCAACATAAGAATAGTCAACATAGCTTTCGTAATATTTCTATTGATTAAATTCTTCCTAATTGAGTTTTTGGTGTTTATTCTTCTCTAAAATTATGCAGTGTTTATATAAAAGGAAATTGTTGAGCAGTGAAACTCAGTCTGAACTACTTCAGTGCCTGGTGGAATAATGTAGAATAAACAAATGAATATAAAACACAAATAAAAATGAATTGCTACTGAAACTCAGTATCAAAAAGGATAGGAACCTTGTGTGAATTTAATTAATTATCTATCATTTAGAAAACAAATTTATAATAAAAAGATTACTATTAATTATGAATTCACGCTTACATGCAAGAATCTGGAAAAACCCACACACTTTCAAGCATTGGTTTAAAAAAAAATTAAAAACTAAGCATTCAATTCACCCATTTTTGAGCACAGTTCTAGGAATAAAAAGATAAATAAAACATGGTCCCTGACTTTCAGGAACACAGCTTTACAAGGAACACTAGCAAGTGAACCAGTTAATTGCTGTGGAATTGGTTGTTTAATGGTAGAATAAAGGAAATAGATATATTGCTCCAAAGTAGTTAAGGGAATAAATTTATTTATTCTTCATGATATACATATGCCTATAGAAATTAGAGCAGGTCTTATGAAATAAATATGCTCAATGGTAATAATAAATGATGCTATGAAGAGGAGGAGTGTATGTTCCAGTCAGTGACACAGAAGCATAAAACAACATAGTACGTTGGAGGGAGTAGAAATGGCTCAGTGTGACTGGACTGTAATGTACAAGAAAACTAATGATTGGAGATGAGTCCAAAGAATTAGGCAGGAACTAATTATGATAAATATTGAATACTTAGCCAAGGAGAAAAATTACTCTGGACTAAAGGTTGAATTTGATAAAAATAAAGCAATAAAGCCAGAGGCAGAGAAACCTACTATAAGAATGGATGAGAGATGATTAAGGTCTAAAATAAAAAAGTGGAATAGGGTATATTGGAACAAATAAGTTTAAGGAGTACTTAGGCAGGAGAACTGATAAAACTTGATGAGTGGTATGTGAATGGAACAGAACATGATCTAGAAAGACTACATAATGTTGACTTGGGCAGATGGTGAGGCTACCAACCAAAGTAGGAAGCATAGGAGGAAAAAGAGATTTGAGGCAAATGATAAGTTCAGACCAGGCATGTGAGTATGAAGAGTCTTATCCAACTGGCAATGCCCAGTGTTAAGTTGGGTATATGGGTCTGGAGCTCAGAAGAGAGGTTCAAGCCTGAAAGAATTTGGGAGTGTCATCAACATACAGACAATATTTTAAATCAACATGAGACCATCTGAGAAAACATACAGGGACAGGAGAAGGGGTCAAAGACAGAATCCTGGAAAACAGTAATATTTCAGGGAATGGGCAGAGGAAAAAAGCAAAGAAAAATTATTTAAGACGTTAAAAAACAAAATGAAGTCATAGAAGAGTTTCAACAAGAAATTATCAATAATGCAAATACTACAGAGTGGGTCAAGGAAATAAAGACTAAAAGTGTCCTTTGGATCTAGCAATGTCACTGGTGTCATTAAGCAGACCAATTTATGCGATGGGGGGGCAGAAGCCAGACTGCAACAGGTTAAAGAGTGAGCAGGAAGTGAAGAAGTGGACACAGAAGAGTAAGATGCTTTAGAGAAGTTTGCATGAGGGAGAAGAATAAGGCATTAGCAAGATGGAGAGTAGTTAAAAGATTTTTTTCAAGGGATGGTAGTGATGACTATCATAGCACCTTCTCATATGACTATTTTTACAGAGAGGAAGGGAGAGGGATAGAGAGTTAGAAACATCGATGAGAGAGAAACATCGATCAGCTGCCTCCTGAACACCCCCTACTGTGCCCGCAACCAAGGTAAATGCCCTTGACCAGAATTGAACTTGGCACCCTTCAGTCTGCAGGCCGATGCTCTATCCACTGAGCCAAACTGGTTAGGGCTCATATGACTATTAAGACGCTTAAAAAATTAATAATTATAAAGTGGTCATATAAGTGTTTGATAAAAAAAAATAATCAGTTAATGCAAGGTCTTAAGGATAGGAGAGGAAATGGGACCAAAAACAGGGAGATAGACTAACCCTTAAACTGGAAGAACATTATTCTATGTGCATGAAGTCTTGAGAGCCTGAGTATGAATGCTGCTAATTTTGAAGTTACTAGTAGATATAGGAAGTTGAAACACGGTGATATAGTGAGGAGGATTATAGGTTGTGGAAAGAGTTTGAGAGAACAGCAAAATTTAGAATATATACTAAGAAAAACAAAACTCAAGCAAAAAAAATAATAATAGTAAGGCAAGCTAAGATTGATAACCACAATAAACTGGTGGTTTCCATCAGTATGGTTAGGCTATTTTCTCCAAATACCTCAGCTACCACACAGAGATGGTGAAGACTAGTGGGTTTATGTTCATAACGTACTTTGAAAAAACATAATGAAAATGTGATTATAGGTTGAAAAATATCAATAATATTCAACTCATGCACATATTTGATATTTTCAACATCTCCCGTAAAGTAAGTTTTTTGTCTGACATTACTATAATTCCTTTTCTTTAAACTCCATTTAAATCCACATACTCTTCAAAGTACTTTATGAAAGTTAAGAGTTATAACAACACAAGTTAAATCTATATTTGCATGTACAGGTCACAACACTCCAAAAAAATGCCGAAAATTAAAAAAGTGTTACCCAATTTAAACTTCAGTAAGCATATTAAGGAAGAAAATCTGTAATTACCTAAATCAGAATTTAGTCAAGACACCAACAGGAAGTATGAAAGAACAAAAGTTGTATGGTCATGATCTAACTCCATAATAACTCCCCCACTTCTTCAAAAAACTGTTTTATGAGATACTATTACTTGTAGAAAAAACACACAAAATATATGGTAATAGAAGAATAACTTTCAAAGAGACATGTTCAAAATGACAAAATCTGCATGTTTAGAGTAAAAAAACAAATTAAAAGATCATTAAAAAGCATAGCATACTTTAAAAAACTATCTCCTGAGATGAAAATAGTAACATGGTCATAAAATTACATTTGGGGAAGTTGATGATTCACCTAAAAGAAAAACAAAATAACAAAACAAAAAACTACTATTCAACTAAATGCATAATGAAGTGAAATGGAGTAGAACTGCTCTAAAACCATCTAACCCACTCTAGCTCTTAACAAATTGATGAAAAATATAAAAACCGTATAAAAACTCAATTATCAGTAATATCAAATACAACCCAAATATATTTATAATAAAAGTATATGCTCTCAATCGCTACCATATAAATAAATAAAAATCTTACCTGCTTGTTGTAATCTCTCAGTCCACTTTCCATCATTGCTAATTTTTCTTGTAACTTATGGACTTCTTGTTGAAGTTCTTGAATTCTGAAACACATTCATAACTAATGCCAATATACTTTTGTAAAGAAATACAAAATAACAAGAAATGAAACTAGGCACAGTCTTTTATTAACTCTCTACTTTTTGTTTCTCAATGAATTATGAAGTGTTGTGTTATGCATAAATGGAATATATCATCTTTCAGAGTTAATTTTGTAAGAATGATAAAGAACTGAGTGGTAAATAATTTGAAATTCAGATACATTATGCAATAAAAGACCTACTATTGCATTTTGATCCTTAGGACAACTCTTTGAGATGCTGCTGCTAATCCTTAGGTTCAGGAAATTGAGGGTAAAGTCCAAAACTCATAATACTAAGTGAAATAAGGGCCTTAAACAGGTTTTCAGATCCTAACTGATCCTGTATTTTCAAATAAACTACCTTATAATCCTGGAGAGAAGGAAAATATTGATATACAGTGGGGCCTTGACTTACGAGTGTCCCGACTAACGAGTTTTTCGAGATACGAACCGTCTCTCGGCCGATTTTTTCCTTTGAGTTGCGAGCTAAAATTCAAGTTACGAGCCAGCTTCAGATACCCCACCACTAGTTGGCGCAGCGAACGTCACAGTGAACAACACAACTTCAGCCCAGCATCATGTGTCTCACTCATTCACTGTTGATTTGACATACCAGTAATTTGAGTTACGAGCTCCGTCAAGGAACAAATTAAACTCGTAAGTCAAAGCCCCACTGTATATTACAATTTCCTAAGTCATTACAGCAAAAAAATAAAAAAGCCACTCTTTTCTGGAACCTATTAATTCTAACAGAATCAACATTTGTCCAAATCACCTGAATTATACAATTGCCCAAATGTATTTGTACTACATCCAGCCTTTCCAAGCATCTATAATAATAAAAGTGTAATATGCAAATCGACCGAATGACCAAATAGCAGAATGACCATCTGAATAGCGGCACAACCTTCCGGATGACCACACTATGACACCCATTGGCACCAGGCCAGCCAAGGTGGTGCAATGTGATTGGTTAGGGGGCCCCATCATTGCCCCATGATCGCCCCGCAGAGGGAGGCCCAGGCCTCCAGCCGGTGGGGCAATCAACTGGGGGGCTCCATGATCACCCCAAAGAGGGAGGCCCACGCCACCGATGGGCAGGCTGCAGCGGGTGGGCAGGGCCTACTTCTGTGGGGGTGATTCATCGCAGAGCCCCAACTGGATGGGCAGGGCCTACCTCTTTGGGGTGATCGATTGTGGGGCTCCCGGACTGTGAGAGGGCGCAAGCCGGGCTGAGGGATGCCTCCCCCTCCACCCCATGCATGAATTTCATGCACCGGGCCTCTAGTTAATATATAAATGACACAACTACACTCCTACTGGAAAGATAAATCCTGAAACCAGGTCTGCTTTAAGAAAGAGTATCCATGGGGTGGAGTGAGTAAGGCTGGACACAACTCATCCCTGCTATTACTGGAACCACATTTTCTACTCATCTAGGCTTAGGAGAAGAGTACATATGCAACTGCACTCAAAAAATGCACAAATGACTGAATGCAAACACAATTTGCATGTGCAAATTAAAACAAGATAATCAAGAGACTAATGCCACCTATGATGGTTTAATAGAAAAGAAAAATGATAAAGAGAAAGGTAAAGTCAGAAACCCTCCTTAAATAATACTAACATTGTTTAAGAAGCCCTAGATTATAACTCTAACTAAACACACAAAATATTTCACAATTAAGGTCAGATAACTGTATAAATACAGGTACATAACATTGTGTGAAAATAACTGAGCTAAGAGATCCTAATTGAGTACCTTAACCACAGTTACCCTTCTAGGTTGTTATATTGATATTAATAAAATGGAAAAACTGTCCCATATTCTCTGCATAATCCACGAAATTAAAAGTAATCAGCACTAGCCCTGGCTAGGTGTCAATTGATTGGAGTGCATCCCATACACCATAAGGTTGTGGGTTCGATTCCCGGTCAGGGCATATACCTAGGTTGCAGGTCAATCCCTGGCTAGGGCACATATGGGAGGCAACCAATTGTTGTTTCTCTCTCATATTGATATGTTTCTGTCTTTCTCCCTTCGTTCCTCTTTAAAATCAATAAACATATCCTTGGATAAGGCTAAAATAATAAAAAATAAAGAAAAGTTATCTGCACTGTTTCTATTGGTTTATTCCATATTTTAACCCCTTCCCCGGCAGAAACGTGTATACACGTTTTCACAAAATGTTCTTATTTCAGTCGTAGACGAGTATACTCGTCTAAAACTTTACCTTCAAAAACCAGCTACATACGTACCATTCTCAATAATTTCATCTAGAAACTTTCTGAGGAAATACTATTCTTAACCACAAAAATGTGTCAACTAGTGCTCTCTTGCTCCTTTGAAGCGCTCATAATTTTCTTAAAAAAAAAAAAAAAAGTTTTTATTGCTTCCAGAGAGAAGGATGAGAGAGGAGAGAAAGAGACACATTAAGGATGAGAGAGAATCATCAATTGGCTACCTCCTGCATGCCCCCACTGGGGACTGAGCCCACAACCCAGGCATGTGTGTGACCTCCTGGTTTGTAGGTCAATGCTCAATCACTGAGCCACACCGGCCAGGCCCCATAATTTTCTTAATGGCATTTTGTGTATTTCTCTTGTCTCATCTTCATTGCCAGATTGTGAGCTTCTCAAAAGCAGCAACACCCTTCTTACTCATTTTTACATCCTTAGAACACTTATATCGTGCCTTTCCTAGAAAGCTTAGTTAAAACGAAATGTACAACTAATTCCAATTTAAGCAAATGCAAACATATAGAACTAAAGAATCATGAAGCAAGAATTTCAAAGCCAATTACAAATCTGTCCATGTCCATCAGCATTTGACATAAATCTGAAGTAACTTTACTTTGGTTGATGAAACCAAATGTCAAAGCAACTCTACTGAAATAGATTCTAAATGGCACTAAACAGTTTTAAACCAAATATGGACAGAAACAGCAGGCATATGATCTATCTGAAATCAAAGGTACAAAACAAATAAAAAAATTCTATATTCAGAATACATTCAGAAAGTATTTACTGAGTGCTTGTGCAAAGCTCTGAGCTAGGCACTGGAGATACAATAGTTAATGAGACAAAAGCCCCACTGTCAAAAAATTTACAGTTAAGTGGTCAATTAACTAAAGCCAATAAGAAATTATTTAATGCACCTGTTATCAGCCACTTGTAGGAGGTCTGCAATGTAAGGGTCATCTGGCTGAGGAACTGGGTAGGAACTGACTTCAGAGGGAGGGACTGGTTGGTCAATTTGCATTCGCTGGCGTCTAAAAGCAATACTTCTTTTCTTGCCACCTAAAGAAAACAAATGTATATTTCAAAAAAAAATTGAAAACAAACAAACCACTGTCTTAGAATTAAATATTCCAGAAGGTTGGCCTTTTTGTTATACAGTATGTCTCTACCACATCATATATATGGATAAAATATTTTCTCCCCCATATATAAATACCCACCCTGATCTTTAAATGATGCCTTCCTGACAACCTCAACAGATATGGTTATAAAACAAGTTTTATATTCTGCACGCTTGGCATGTGTGACCAGATTTAATCTATTCCTCCAGTAAATGGGGACCAGATATTGGCAAGATTAAAACTTAAGTGTGTCTTGTGGCATTTATTACTGTGAGCTCAAGAAGTTACCACCAACAGAAACCTGTCAAACATGGAGTTTAAGACAGTGAGAACTGCCTTAATACACATGCTTATTAAGCAATGCCAAAAGAGCAGAAAACCAAAATTTTAAGTAGTAAAATTAGTATATAATGGAATGTCAACTGTGATAAAAAATCATGCTGTAACCTGAATTAGTAGGGAATGTTTTACTACTTATCTTTAAAAATAGCAGAAGTAATTTCTTTTTATGATTAAATACTAGAGGCCCAGTGCACAAAAATTTGTGCACTCGGGGGTGGGGATTCCCCTGAGCCCGGCCTGTGCCCTTTCACAGTCTGGAACCCCTCAGGGGATGTCCACCTGCTGGCTTAGGCCTGTTCCCCGGAGGATTGGGCCTAAGCTGGCAGCCAGACATCCCTCTGGCAGCCTGGGAGCCCTCGGGGAGGTCCAACTGATGGCTTAGCCATCAGTCAGATATCCTTAGAGGCTCCTGCCATCGCCACTGTGCTCGCAGCCATCAGCCTGGCTTGTGGCTGAGCCGAGGTCCCCC